CGATCCATGTCATCCCATACATCCATCCATCCATTTGCCATAACCATCCATCCATCCATCCATCCATGCCATCCATCCATCCATCATCCATCCATCCATCCATTCCATCATCCATGCCATCGAAAACATCCATGCCATCCATCCCATTCATACATTCATCCATTGTCATTTATCCATCCATCATCCATCATCCATCCATCCATCCATCCATGCCATCCATCCAACCATCGATCCCATCCATCCCGACGCAGGCGCACTGGCCGGCCCACCTCGCGCGGCGCCATCCATTCTCCATCCTCCATACCATTGCCATCCATCCATCCGAATCCATCCATCCATCCATCATCGCATCCATTCTATCCATTCATTGCCGATCCATCAATCGCCATCCATAGCCTCCATCCATCCATCCATCCATCCATCCATCCATCCATCATCCCATCCATCCCATCATGCTATGCCATCATCCATCCTGTCCATCCATCCATCCCATACCCTCATACATTCATGGCGTCCGTCCGCTACCGTCCGTCCGTCCATCCATCCTTCCATCACATACATCCATCCATGCCATGCATCCATCCTATTCCATCCATCCATCCATCCATCCATCCATCATCCATCCATCCATCCATCCAATACCCTCATCCATTCCATTCCATCCATCCATCCCATGCCATCCATCCATACCATACATTCATCCGTCCGTCCGTCCGTCGCTCGTCCATTGCCATCCTTCCATCCATAACATCCATCCATCCATTCCATCCCATCCATCCATATCCATCCATCCATCCATCCAGTCCATCCATCCACCATCCATCCATCATCCATCCATCCATCCATCCATTGCCATCCATCCATCCATCCATCCATCCATCCATGCCATCCAATCCATTCCATCCATCCATCCATCCATCCATCCATACATTCATCCATCCATCCATCCATCTACGCGCGGGCGCCCGCGTCACGTTACCGCCGTTCTTCTTTTCACCCCGTTATGTCTATATTGGCAAGTTTTGTTCTATATTCTTTGGGTTCTCTTACGAAAATGGTTAGTGGTATCGACCAAATTGAGTTTCATCGTGTGCGCACACACTTACGGCCACTATATAGACATAGCATAGTTCCTGTAAACACGGAACCACAAGCCAGCCCGGATCTAACAGGGTTGTTTGTTCAGCGCACCTAATGCATAAATTATCAGTATAATAAGGCTATATAACTAATATCTAGCTGTACGTGAGGGCCAGCCGAGTCATCTGAAATAACATATCAGCACTGATAGACGCCTCCGGAACAATTGGAAAATTACCAAGCAAAATTTCCTTATGCACGCAGAAGATGGCGATATAATTAATATTATTACAGCGCACCGACCAATGGTTGGATGAGCACACAGACAGACAGGCGTCCCCACCTGTTTATTTGCACTGGAGTGCGGTATGGGAGTGAGAGAAAGAGAGAGAGAGAGAGCGAAAAAGAGAGAAAGAGAACTGGAAAAAAGAGAGGAGAGAGAGAGAGAGGGAAAGAGACGAAAGAGAGAGAGAAGAGGAGAGCGAAAGAGAGAGGGAGCAACCTACGACAGTAATAATTTTAGTTTAACCGCGGGCAAAAAGAGAAGAGAGAGAGCGAGAGAGGAGAGAGAGATAGAGAGAGAGAGAGAGAGAGAGAGAGAGAGACGGAGAGAGAGAAGATGAGAGTGAGAGAGAAAGAAAGAACAGGGGGTGAGGAAGAGAGAGAGAGAGAGAGAGAGAGAGAAGGAAAGAAAGAAAGCCCGGGCGGCACGGCAATCGCTTTCGTAAAAAAACGCAGTGCAAGTTAAAAATTAATAATAATTATTTAATAATAATAATAATTAATAATAATACAAATAGTCAGTTAAACATAGTTATAATTTAATGTCAAACTTGCTTTCTTTTGCTGCAGGCAATGTTATGTCCTTGCTATTGTAAACCAGTGTTTGTGTATACATGAATTTGTGTACTATCCTCTAGATTGGTCTACGAGGGCGCTAAATTGGTGTATAGCGTCAGGCTGGCGCGAGATTGAGAGTATGTTTGTTAGCATGTAAAGCGAACTTCTTATGACGCGCATTTTGTTTTGCTTAGATTTTTATAGGAATCCGTCTTGATCTTAGCTTGCTTTAGTAAGGTAAGGTCAATAACATGTATTAGTACGATTCTATATCATCTGAGTTTATCTTGTTACTCCTCCTGCTCACAGCAGCCCATGCACCGAACCGGCGACCTGATTACAATGGCAATAAGGTAGGTTCCCGCCATCATCGCATCATCGGTCGTCAGCCCGGGCGGCGCAGCGCGCCGCAACAGGCGGCAGGGCGGGAGGTAATCATCGACTACGATTACCCGCCGTATGGCACGAAGCTCGCCACCACGTGGTTACAATGTTACAGAGCCCCTGCCCAGCGAGCGGTACGGGCCGCCACCAGAGGCGCCACCGGACAGTCGTAGTCAGGGGTCGGGGGTCGCTGGGGGGCGGGGTCTCACGGCGTGCCTATTTAATACGCTCGCCGTCCCAGCGAATACCCAGCAGCCCTCTACCAGCAGCTCCTCACGCTCAAACCAGGCGTTACAGCGCCGCACAGGCCGAGGAGGCCGGCGCGTGACGACGCCGAACGATGGCCAGGCAGACGAGGAGGCGGCAAGGCCCCTCCGCACCAAAAGCAGCGACTGCGACCGCTTGCCAAATCGGCATGACGTTGTCACGCCGCAGTCAGCCGCGCGTACGCCATGACAGGATGGGGTGAAGTACAGAGTTTTCCACTTATAACTGCGCAGCAATCGTAATCATAACGTGACAGCTACAGGTGGTGTGTAATACCATCGCACATATTTTATACATTCAGCGGAGTAAATTACGTGTATTATAGTATACTCATGATATAACGTGTAGAATACAGGGATGTGTGCACATCATGAAGACGCAACAAGCGTTTGCTGTCGATCGTTATAATTTTCGTCGTCGACACGTGAGGACGTTATGTCGTCGTTGTCGTCTGTCGTCGTTCGTCGTCGTTGACCGGGTCGACGCGTGGTCGTGTAGCCGTCGCGGCGTGTAGTCGACGTCAACCTCGTCGTCCGTTGTCGTCGGTCGTTGTCGTCGTCGTCGTCGTGGCGTCGTCGTCGTCTTGCGTCGACACGTCCCGCAACTTGTAGCCATCGCGGCGTTGTCGTCGTCGTTGTCCGTCTGTTCTCGGTCGTCGACCGCCGGGCGTTTTCGTTGTAGCCGTCGGGCGGGCGTTGTCTGTCCGTCGTCGTCGTCGACGTCGTTGTAGCCGTCGGCGGCGCGTTTGTAGTCAGACGGCATCGTCGTCGATTGTCATTCCTCGTCGTTGTCGTCGCCGTCGCGTACACTCCTTTTAGTTAACGAAGGAAGTTCGAACAAGCATTTAGTATGGCTGCACATTACATCTTGCGCGATAGAACATAACTTTGCAGTGATGGTGCTTGATGTACATCATCGATTCGTTGTCGTTTCAGGGAGCAGTTGTTGTCGTTTCCTGCTCCCGGATCAAGAGACCTGGCTTGCCGGACTCGGCGGCGGATGCTGGGCGAAGAACCTGTTCTCCAGTACGACATACACTTCTCACCCGATGACCAGCAAACCGTTTCAAGGACATAGCTCAGCCGGGAAGGGGTTACGACAGATGTAAGTCGAAAAGTTAGTGGTTTGCAGTAGAGAGAGCCGAGACTCGGTGAGACTGGTGAAATAATATATTTAATTCACTGTTTGATTATCGGGATTTATCAACGAAAACGTCATGGTACGCTCATCATATTTACGCCCTGAAAAGTAGTCGCAAGGTGCGGGACGTCTATACACATATGTGGCAAGTACGCCGTAATTACAATCCTATCAACGCCGCTGGCGGTACATATAATCAGGGGTCGCCTGGTGTATGAATGACCAACGCACACGCCTTCAATACAATTAAAATGTCTTTTTAGTACGCACGAAGACGAGTAGGTCGTTCGAATTTGAGCTATCAGATCCCATAATCGGGCACCGGAGAAATAGATACTCTTACTACTTGTGGCGCTTGAAGTATTAATTGTTCGGCGCTTCTCCGGTTTTATAGAAACGTTTACTAACCGGTAGGCGCGGTAGCATTGCGTTGAGAGAGAGAGAGAGAGAGAGAGAGAGAGAGAGAGAGAGAGAGAGAGAGAGAGAGAGAGAGAGAGAGAGAGAGAGAGAGAGAGAGAGAGAGAGAGAGAGAGAGAGAGAGAGAGAGAGAGAGGGAGAGAGAGAGAGAGAGAGAAGGAAAGAAAGAACGCCCGGGCGCACGGAATCGCTTTCGTAAAAAAACGCAGTGCAGCTAAAAAATTAATATAATTATTATTAATAATAATAATAATAATAATAATAATAATAATAATAATAATAATAATAACACAAATAGTCCAGTTAAACATATATAATTTAATGTCAAACTTGCTTTCTTTTGCTGCAGCATGTTATGCTTGCTATTGTAACCGTGTTTGTGTATACAAATTTGTGTACTATCTCTAATTGGTCTACGAGGGCGCTATTGGTGTATAGCGTGAGGCGCGCGAGATGAAGGTATGTTGTTAGCATGTAAAGCGAACTTCTATGACGCGCATTTTGTTTTGCTTAAATTTTTATAGGAATACCTCTTGATCTTAGGCTTGCTTTAGTAAGTAAATCAATAAATTTTAGTACGATTCTATATCATCGAGTTTATCTTGTTACTATCTGCTCACACAGGCCACATGCACGAACCGCGACCTGATTACGATGGCAAAGGTAGGTTCCCGCCATCATCGTCATCGTCGTCACCCGGGCGGCGGCAGCGCGGCGGCAACGGCGGCAGGGGCGTGGAGGTAATCATCGACTACGATTACCCGCCGATGCACGAGAGCTCGCCACCCGGTTACATGGACGACCCTGCCAGCGAGCGGTACGGCAGCCACCAGAGGGCGCCACCGGCTCCACGGGCGGCCTATTACGCGTCGCCGTCCCACGATACCCAGCAGCCCTCTACCAGCAGCTACCACGTCAACCAGGCGTACAGCGCGCACGAGGCCGAGGAGGCGGTCCGTGACGACGCCGACGATGGCAGGAGACGAGGAGGCGGCAAGGCCCTGTCGCACCAAAACAGCCGGACTGCGACGCTTGGCATGGGCATGACGTTGTCACGCAGTCAGCGCGCGTACGCCATGAACAGGATGGGGTGAGTAGAGTTCCACTTATATACAGGCAAGCGGTAATATAACGGACAGCTACAGGTGGTGTGTAATACCATGCACATATTTATACATTCAGGAGTAAATTACCCCTATTATATATACTCATGATATAACGTGTAGATACAGGGATGTGTGCAATTCATGAGACGAACAGCGTTGCTGTCATCGTTATAATTTCGTCGTCGACAACGTTATCGTCGTCGTTGTCGTCGTCGTCGTCGTCGTCGTCGTCGACGACGTCGTCGTCGACGTCGTTGCAGCCGTCGGTGGCGTTGTAGTCGACGTCATTGTCGTCGTTGTCGTCGTCGTCGTCGTCGTCGTCGACGACGTCGTTGTAGCCATCGGCGGCGTTGTCGTCGTCGTTGTCGTCGTCATCGTCGTCGACGTCGTTGTAGCCGTCGGCGGCGTTGTCGTCGTCGTCGTCGTCGTCGACGTCGTTGTAGCCGTCGGCGGCGTTGTAGTCGACGTCATCGTCGTCATTGGCATCCTCGTCGTTGTCGTCGTCGTCGACACTTTTTAGTTAACGAAGGAAGTTCGATAAGATTTAGTATGGCTCACATTACATCTTGCGCGATAGAACATAACTTTGCAGTGATGTGCTTGATGTACATCATCGATTCGTTGTCGTTTCAGGGAGCAGTTGTTGTCGGTTTCCGCTCCCGATGAAGAGAACCTGCCGACTCGGCGGCGATGCTGGGCGAAGAACTGTTTCAGTACGGACCATCACTCTCACCCGATGACCAGCAAACGTTTCAAGGACATGCTAGCCGGGAAGGGTTACGAGATGTAAGTCGAAAAGTTAGTGGTTTGCAGTAGAGCCGAGCCTGAGGCTGGTGATAATAATAATTATTAAATTCACTTTGATTATGGGATTATCACGAAAACGTCATGGTACGCTCATCATATACGCCCTGGAGAAGTCGTCAAGTGCGGCACGTCTATACAATATGCAAGTACGCGTAATTACACTCTATAAACGCCGTGCGGTAATATAATAGGGGTCGCCTGGTGTAGTAAATAACCACCGCATCGCCTCAATTCAATTAAAATGTCTTTACCACGAAGACGAGTAGGTCGTTGAATTTGAGCTAATCCCATAATGGGCACGGAGAATAGAGTATCTACTACTTGGGCGCTTGAATATTAATTGTTGGCGCTTCTCCGTTTTATAGAAACGTTTACTAACCGTAGGCGGTAGCATTGCGATTTAAAAAATATAAATTTACGCTTATCTGTTGTTTATTTACAGCGTGGAAGAGAAAGGAGCCAAAGGTTTCGTAAGTACCCGTGTTGTGTATTTCAGTGCATTGCCTCACTGTGTTTGTGTGTGAGATAGCGGCAGCGCTTTACCCGCACATTTTTATACCCCTCCCGTTACCCGTACAGGATCAAATATTGCCTGATAGCTAGCGCTTATATGAGCGTGCATTATTATGTTTGATAGGGTATATAGCGGGCGATGAGGTTAGTGCCACCACACCTGCTAGAGTATGAGACTGTTATACAGTGCGGCAAGCGCGTACCACTCATTTGTTTAAACTATTTAGCCTGTTCGACAGACGTCATTTACAGACAGACTTATATTAGCTCATCGATGTCGTAATGAGACGTTATAAAAGTTAATGTTTGACAAGGAAGTGCCGCGAACTCGACATTTTGATATGCATGGGTAAAATATACGTCTAAACTAGTCTTTCCTGGCCTAGCGACGATATATAAGAAGGCTTGGTTATATATGGCCCTCGGTCGGATTAATAGGGCAATTCAATAAAGAACCCGTTTAGTTGTAACTGCACTGCACCAGGTAGGTACCGAACACAGTGGCTAATTGAGGTGCTGTTTTCGCAAAATATACGAAAATTGCTAATAGAGGTATAAGGGAGATATGACAGTGATTCTGTGAGGTGGTTCGGGAAGCACCGCGTCTCAGGTATAAAAACGACCAATCGTGGAGACTGTGATAGTCAGTTATTATACGGGACATCATAAAAATACACATAAGCGTAAACAATGAGAAGGCATGACATGCATATCAATACGTGCAAACGTGCATACGTGCAATACGTGCAAACCAAACATATTATCATGCCGTAGATAACATCAGTGATAAAACAACACACTGAGCCATTTTAATCGTATCAAAATATCGAAATAAGCAAATGATTTGAAGATCAAATTAAACAAACGCATACAGTAATAATCAGTCAAATAGGCGTATATGTTTACACACTACATACTATCCGTGTACCGCCTGGGATGACACTACACATATACAGTATACGTTGTAGTGCAACACCATTGCATCTCTCTCTCTCTCTTTCTCTCTCTCTCTCTCTCTCTCTCTCTCTCTCTCTCTCTCTCTCTCTCTCTCTCTCTCTCTCTCTCTCTCGTATCTCTCGCTCTCTCTCC